TTTTTTTTTTTTTTTTTTTTTTTTTTTTTTTTAAAACAAAAAAAAAAAAAAAAAAAAAAAAAAAAAAAGAGGCGTGCAAGAATTTGAAGAAAAGAGACAAACTTTTGTGATCTGGAAGTGAATAGAATGAACACATGAGTAAAACCAACAGGAGAGTTCAGCAAGATGTTGAATATGTGACCAACTAGAAAATAAAAAGCACTTCCCTACATTAACATTACTAACTATAAACTGTAGTAAAAATACCATTCAAAATAGCATAGAAATTAAAAAGTCCTTAGGAGTTTACTTAAGAAATAAATAAGACCTTTAAAGGAGTTTACAGTTTTAACTTCTTCTGTTCTGTGTTTTTCAAACTTTATATTATGAACATATATTATTTTGCTAATAAAGACATACAATATCAATGGCAATATTCAACATATTTAAAACATTGGCACCAATCAAAACAGCAAAGGCAGTAAAGAATTGATTCAGCCACACAGCCATGGGCCCGGTGAAAAAAGCTTTGCACTGTAGTAATTAATTGACTATTTAAGTGAATTAAGTGATTATTATATGTCTCTCCCAGAACTGGCTGGGAAGGACTAACTTTAGCCTTCCGCTTTCTCTGAAGAATTTCTCTCAGTATTTTTCCTGTAGTCAGGACAAAGGTAGTCCAACAAACATATTTAGATCAACAAGGCAAGATGGCTTATTTAAAGATTGCAGGGAGCAAAATACAGAGCTGGCATAGAAGAAAGGGAGCGTGCGGAGCTGGAAAATGGGAAAACGAGGACGGGGAACGAGCTACCGCGTGGCCTGCCCCTGCCGAGCAGGCTGCCTGTCCTACCCACACTGAGGGGACAGTGCAAAAATGTAGCTCAGACTTCATCTCCCTGCGTGAACTCAATTGTTCCAAGAATGCTAATGTTTGACATTACCTGCTTTCAAATTATGAAATGATAAGGTTAAAAATTCCTCATGGAGCTTGAGTCTCAAACCCGGGGAGTAATTAAAAGATAGTAATTAAAGCACATC